TTTCAGAAGACTCGCACACTGATCAATACCCAAGACTTTTTTTAGCCTCAGACCTTGCGGCACAGATGAGAACAGATCATTTATCCATCTCAGATTGCTTTTCTTTTCACCACACAATGCTCCTGCCAACTTATGCTCCATTTGTAATCCAGTTATGAAAGTCAGGTTATCCTTTCCCACTACCCAGCAATTTATTATTAATATATATATGAGCAGCAAATAAAACAGAAGACATAACCAGCATAACAAGCCAAGAGCATAGTCTTATCTATTGCATTGCAAATATGACCCTGGACTTACCACCACATCAACGGGGCGGCCAACTTACTACTACTGAAAGCTGCCAAGTAGGCTTTTGAGTTCAGTTCTACTTAAGTTTCTTCCATTGAAACAACACTACGTACAATTGACATGGGCTGGGCTTCAGCATTCACATGGATGGGATGCCAAACAGAAGGACCAAAATTCAAATTGGTTTGTCCATTTAAAGGATTAATTACAAGATTTGGTCTATTTATTTTCCCCTCCCCTAAGAACCTTCTTCTCATGGTAAGAGGAACTCAGTAACTAGTTCCAAGTTTTGGCTTTTACAAGACAGCGGTTAAAAAAATCAGTCATTAATAATGTTTAATACCTAGCTGGTTGCAATAGGAGAAAACTAAAGTGAACCTATGTGTTTCATCCACTGCACAGGTATTTGATGATAGAATATTTCTGTGTTTAGCTTTAAACTACAGGCTAATTAACACCATATTTTAGAGGAGTAAACTACAAGAAATAACTCCCCAATCAAGATTCAGCAAATCAGGTTAACGCTGAACTGAAAAATATTCTACCAATGAGTTCACACAGATTGTATTTGACAACATGCTCCTTACAAAGGGACAGTATCTACTTGTTTGCACAGCAATTAAATATGCTGTAGCTTTGAATAAATACTTTAATCCAGAACACATTAGCAAGCCTTTTTCCTGCACAAATACTTCAGTGCTAGGAAAGACATTAATACATCCTGCATTCACTGTTGAATAACAAGCAAAACAAGAAGGGGGAAGATCCTGAAACTAAAGGCACTTGGCAAAGGAGGGCTTTCAAATAAAAACAGGGAAAAAGTACAAAACAGTTCACTTAGCATGAGAAACCATGAATGCATTCATTTTAATGCCCACTTCATTTTAAGCACATTTGTTTTAACACAGGGCCAAATACACACCAATGAAGTATCTCCTTAACTTCTATATGTAAGCCTCTGAACAGAACAGAAAAAAAGCATCAGCCAAACCAGTGCCTGGGGAATGCCACCACACTTGAAGCACCTCTCAGCAGGATACAGGTGATTATCTCTGGAGACACACACATTGGACTTTCTCATTTTGTTAAGTTAAACCTAACTTCTTCATTATACATACAGCAATATAACATCAAGCTGCAGTGTGCCATTTGGCAGGCTGGAAGAAAGGTACTTCTACCCATAGGATCTGCTTCATTCTAAGCTTCATGAAATTAAAGACAGGGCATTTTGGCCAGATCGTCCAACTTCACAGATTTTGTTTCTATTTATACATTACTGAACAACAGTCAGGAGCTGCACAAGTTTCTTACGTAGGATCAAACATATCAACTGAAAGATGCCAACTCCCTTGGCATCCCAAAATGCCTTGTGCCAGCACTGTTCCTGGACTGCTGTGCAGCAGTATTGATGCCAGCGTTCAGCAGTCTACGCTCACGACAGTCGCTGGTGCAAATCAGATGGCATGTATTTATTACAGCCATGAAACCAGGCTGTCTGCATCAGGGAGCTTCGGATGCCACAGATGGTCAGAACTAGAAACCTGAACTATCCCTCTGTGCCAGGTAATCTCATTAGAAATATGCCTCCCCACTGAGGAAGAACAGAGCAGCTGAGCCATTCTGCAGAGCACTTACCAGGAATCATTACCAGGCACCCTCTCACTCCAGAATTGTCCTAAGTACAGGGACCCAAGTTTCAGAGTCTAATTACAAACAACATTTTGTGATGAGACTATGCTCCTTGCTTTGTGTGTCATGTTTTACAAGCCTGCTATATGCAAAACTCTGCCCTGCAATGAGGAAATGAGTGGAAACAGAAAATAATTTATTAAGTTCTGTACTCACTGAGTCATGCACATAGAAGGCAAATGGAGCACACAAGTTATCACAACAGTAGTTGTAAAATACTGTCAAAAGTAAATATAATGCACATACATACCATTTTGAACACAAGGGAAGAGAGTTCACAGAGCCTCAAGTTGGAAGCATAGACTAAGAGAAGATTTACTCCTCTCTTACCTAGGACAACTGCTGAACAGTTCTGTTGACACGTTCATCTAGAACAGTTTTAAATATTTAACGTTTAAAGGTGAACTTGAAGGCTTGTGTTGACTGTCAAGACTCAGCCAGCCTTCTGGGCTGAGCCATATATTTGCAGCTGTGAAATCCTTATTTGGAAAAGTAATCATAGCATCCTCCCTACATATAAAGTAGGCACACTTTCTGCAATGCAACAAGTTTGGTAGACAATGCAAACAGAACACGTCCTCTGCCTGTGGCAGAAGAGCTGTTTCTATTTAGTTTACCATCAATTCATTCTCATGCCATTTTAATCTGCACATAAGTATTTTAGATTGTTTATGAAATGTTGTATTGCTCTATAGAGGGTACAGTCTACAACTTAATGATCCCAAATTGCACTGCTTTATCTGCAGCGCTGCCCCTGAAGTTAATCAGGAGATGATGGGAACCAAGATATGCAGCGATACTGACAAAGATTTGAGCTTTGCTGCCAGGGGGCGGCAGCACCAGCATGCCTGATGCAGCAGTTCAAGCCTCACAGCAGCATTTCAGAGCCCTGAAGTCCAGCTCTCAGTCTGTTTCCATTTATACTTTGCTTTGTTTGGCCATCTGGTCTATTCATAACAGGGACTACACAACAAAACACATTCTTGAAATACAAGTAATTCATAACCTTCAGCCCTAGCAGAATAGCCATCACATTCTATATCAATCCAATACACATGGATTTCTGCATAATTGATCATTTTATTGGAATATGTTAAAAGATGTTTGTTCAGATCACCTGTTCAGCAG